AATCACTTTGCAAAGTGTTACTTGATTTGCAACAATAAAATAGTTTTGAGAGGTGGCTGCTGGTTGGTTGCCCAGTTACATTTGTACTCTATGTGAATTGATCCCTCCACACTGGTGCTTATATACTTAATATTTCAAATACGTACATCAGCGATGCAACTCATTTATATGTTTCATGGCCTTTGAATTGCTCATGATTAGAAAAATTGCATATGCATATGTGAGAATTTTACTATTTTTCTTTCCAGACCTTTTCTCTCTAATTCCTTAAGTGAGATGTTGGTGTGCCTGCATGTGTGGTGTATATATAGTTCCTGTATGTTAGATTTTTTTTTTTTACTTAAAAACTCTCATTGGAGCATTTTCCAGGTCTGTTATTAGCATCAATTATTTTATTTTTTGATTTGTTTATTGTACAGTGTTGTCTTACCTGCCAAAAATACATACATCATAAAAGCAGGGAAATTTTGGGGTTGTGCATTGTTAAGTTCCCTGCATCTAGACTAAGTCTTACCACATCATATAGGTGCTCAATAAATATTAGTTTATTGAATAAACCAATGACTAAAATATTCACTGGATATACAACTTTTAATGACTGTATACTATTTCCTAATAAAGGTGTAGCCAAATGTAGTTAACTATCTCTTTGTTGTTGACATTAAGGTTTTATAATATTTTTCTTATCATAACTAATGTTCTGAGGAACAAAAATCTTGGTTACTAATTTGGGTTTTTCCTTAAGGATAGATTCTCAAATCTAACAGGTCAAAGTAAAAGAATTATGTAAAGTTCTTACAGCTTAATATATTATGCCTATTTTCCCCTGCAGGCCACTGGTATAAACTTTATACTCTCACAAGCAATAAATGAAAATGTACATCTTACCACATCCATGCTTAATGGAATGACTTTTCAACTTTCTCAGTTCTGGAATTCAGAGGCATTCCATTTCTATCATGGATATTACATTAGTCAAGATATCTCTAGTTACTGTCACAAAACCTCCCAAATCTTAGCACAAGAAAAGCTTTTTGTTGTTCATGGCTCAGTCTACACATAGCTTGAGTGACTCTTCTGGGCAGCTGTTCTTCAAGCAGGGCCTCAAGATCGGGGATTTGAACTCCTTTCATCCACCATCTCTGAGTAATTTATTTCCAAGGGAATGTGTGTGTGTGTGTGTCTGTGTAAGAGAGAGACTAGTTTTATGGCCTGGTTAGAAGTCCAGTATATATTCCCAACCACATTCCATTGGCCAGAACTCAGTCATGTGCTCCCACTTAGATGCAAGAGGGACTGAGAATAGAGTCTTCCTGAGTACCCATCAGTGAGTGCATTGTATCTTGAAACAGGTTCTAAAAATATCTTCTTTCAGGTTTTGGATAGCTGAAAAGTATAGGGTGCCTTTAGTAGATCTAATGCTCCCACTTCTAATCAAATGATCTACACACTCCATTTCCTATGACAGTGGCCAGCACTTGGTCAGTAGTGTTCACATCGTAAAGATAAATAAATAGAACAAGCACCACTCTTGTCAGGGATGTGGTTGCTTGTCCTGCAATTGAGGAGAAATGCTGTTCAATTTATCCACCTTTAGAATTCGCTTTTGGTGTCCTGGAGCAATTCCAACTTGGATAATTGCATTCTGCTGATCTAAAATTCCCCTGTAGCTTCCTTCGGATGAGCTAGCCTTCATTTCCCCCTCTACACATTGTAGTGTAGTGTTACTGGCACCCACTGATCACTCCATTCCACAAAGAAGCTGGTTACATTTCCCCACCATCTAAGTGATCCCTGGGTGAATACACAGAATCTGCAGGTTTCTTTGGTTCCTTAAATGTAGGAAACATACATTTAATAGATGAGCAAAATTAGTGACTTGAAACTCTAGGTGGTGGAAGAAATTAGTAACCTCTCATGTTATAAATTTAACTCTAGAAATTTAAAACCATAAATTCTCTTCCCAAGAATATGTAATATCGTTTGACCCAACAAATAATAAAGGACATTTTCTGTTGCTAAATATGAGATATATCGTGAGTAATATCTATGGGATCTATACTACAGTATTCCCATACCAATATGTTTACCTCTATCAAAATAATAAACTCTTTCTCTCATAGATTGCAATGAATAGAATTAGCCTTTAGCAAATACTTTTTTTCTCTCAGGAATATTCATTTTACTAAGTAGTCTACACCATCCCCAATTAAGTGCTTATGTGTGCTGAAACAGTAAGGGACGGTATTAATTTTAATCCAAAAATAAAATATTGCTTGGTGGTGGGCGATTCTGTTAAAAACTGAAGGTCAATTTGCAATTAAAGGGTCTCTTAACAAAGTATCAGAATAATGTACTGCTCATCAGGGTGATGAAAACAGGAAAAAATATGGCTGTTGGACAACTATTAAGGTTGAGCTTTAAACTTGTAGAGATCTTTTATTTTTATCTAAAAATGTTTTTTTAATATCCAGGCATATTTCTGATTTACAAATTTCAACGCTCCCATAAGCCAAAGGAGGGAGATTTTTCTAACAGTCGGGGTTATCTTATTAAAATTCATCATGATTCTCCTTACTGAAAGAAGTAAACAAGAATCAATTTTCTTTAGTAAAGAAGTTGGCTGAGATGCAAGTTGATCTAAGACAGACTTGATGGATTCATACGAAACGTTTACAAAACAATTCAGAATCAGAATCTACAACTTACAGGGAATTCTTTCCCTTTTCTTTTCCTTGCGCAGGGGAAGAGGGCGAGAGGAAATCTGTCTTAGGGAAGGAAAAGAAAGCCCCGTAGCACACACAAAAAGATTTTATAGCTTTTAATTCTGCTAAGCCACCGATACATGGAAGATGCACAGTACTCTAATTATCTGGCGAGATAGATGTAATTGTATCTATCAAACTAAATAGAACACTGTCAGATGACAGCCAAGATTGGATTGTCTTTAAGGGTCAGACAGAAACCTAGAGTGACCTCACTCCTCCCTTCTCACCATGCCTGTTTCCTTAGTCTTTGATGAGGACCCGTTTTGCTAACCATGTGAAAGCATATACAGTAACAGTGCCTTTTTGCTCTATGCCAACAGCCTCCCTAGAGACCACACTTGGTTTACTTGGGCCCCAGGGATTAGCCTGCCCAGGCCTCCCTTGTATTTGAAATGTATGATATTGATATCAGTGCTTAGGGAGAATCAGTCCTCTGCAATGAACAGATCATGCCTGGCTCCATAAAGTCTACGTTGCATGGAGAGATGTAGAGATTTTATAGGCCGGGTGGAGAGGGGCCAAGTCAGGCTTTTGCTCTGGAAAGCAAGTATTAGGTAATGAATTAGAGAGTTTGTTTCCTGGCCTGGCCCTTGATATTCAGAACATTTCCTTGGGCTGTATAAATAGACTTGAATTGCTACGTACTTTTCCGTTTGCAGTAGGGGGAGATCATTGTCATCTCATAGGTGCTAGCTGGGCTATCAGCATTCATGGTTCTCTCCATGCTGTCTTTAAAACAAGTGTGCCC